ACTACTACTACTACTACACTACTACTACTACTACTACTACTACTACTACTACTTTCACTAGTATCACTACTACTACTACTACTACTTCAACTACTACGGCTACTACGACTACTACGACTACTACGACTACTACGACTACTACGACTACTACGACTACTACGACTACGACTACGACTACGACTACGACTACGACTACGACGACGACGACGACGACGACGACGACGACGACGACGACGACGACGACGACGACGACTACTACTACTACTACTCCTGCTAGTCCTCCTCCTCCTCCTCCTCCTCCCCCCTGCTTCGTCTCACTTGCCTCGCGGTGCCCGCAGCGTCGTATGGTTGGGCCCTTCGCCAGGACTATGCTTTCTCGACCAAGGCACGCAATCCACAACTCGTGTAGTCTGCCCAGCGGTCGGGCCAGAAAACGCCGGCCACAGCACGTTTCGGTGTGCGCGTCGCCCCTGCGGCAGCGACGCACACATAGCGACGCAGCGAAGCAGCACGTTTCGGTGCGCGCGTCCGCCCTGCTTCTTCTCGCCTGCCTCACGGCACACGCAGCTTCACGTTGTTGGGACCTTCGCCAAGAAAATAATCGTTTAGTCTCGGCGCTGGGTCCCCCCCTCCCTGGCGCGCGGAGCGCGGCAGGGGCGGCTCCGGAGGCGCCACCAAGGAGGTCCGGCGCCGACCCCAGACATCCGCGCGGAGCTCCGAGCCCTTCTTTGGACGCCCGAAATGGGTACGGGAAGAAAGGGTACGATGCCCCACAGCACTCCCTGTTCGTTCTGAACAGGACGCGCTGGCGGTGTCGCCGCGGCCTGTGTCCATGTGAGACAGAAGGCCGCCTGCCAAAAACAGAAGCCGCTGCTGCTTTGGGACAGCATTTGTTGTTGGGCATTGTGCCCATTCTTTCCGTACCCACTTCGGGTGCCCAAACTAGGGGGCAAACAAACCTACCTCGCTTTTGACCACCCTCGCTTCCAAGAGATACCAGCGATGCCAAACTGCGGCCTGTACTGGCCAGGCCGCGTGACGAGGAGGCGCGTGGCATGACTTTGCTATGCCTGGAAGCAAAAGCGGGGTAGGCAATTCACGCTCTGGCAATCCTTCTGCTCATGCCATCGCTCTCCTCCTCCCCCGGTCCGCCCCCTCCGAGGCCAGCAGGGCGCCCGCGGGCCCTACCGCGCAGCCGCGCCCCCCGCAGCCGCGGCGGCGAGCGGGCCGCCGCCGGCGCTCGCGACCAGGCGCGCGTCGGCCTCGCCCAGGAGCATGCCCTCGTCGTCGGCGAGCCCAAGGGGGGGGAGGCGACCCTGACCTTCCAGAGAGCTATTTTTTAACACTGGAGGCCTAAAACCCTAAAAAACGATACGAAACAGCCTGAAACCAAGACGTAGCCCTCCTGGAAGGTCAGGGGAGAGGCGAGGCGGGCTGGCCTTCTCGGAAGGCTCGGAAAACCGGCTCGCCTTCGGAGGACTGCTCCGCGAGCCTTCCCCGTGAAGGCCCGGAGCAGCTCCTCGAGAAGGCCGGAGGGCTTGCGAGAAGCCCCGCCTGCTGAGCAGGCCCGCCCCCCTCTTGCCGGCCCCCCCCTTGGGCGCGCCGCCGGCCTTGGGCCAGAAGCCCCGCAGCGGCGGCGCGAACTCGGCGAGGAGCCGCTGCCGCTCCTCGCGGGGAGACGCGCGCAGGTCTCCAAGGGGCCCAGAGGGGGTCACCAGCAGGCAGGCAGGAATTCCGAGATCCCCCCATGTGCCTCCACGTGCCCTGGATGCTCGCCTCCCCCTCCACTCCCCCAATGCCTTCCCACTGCCTTCTGGGGAGTCGACGCGTGCGTGTGTCTGTGGCTAGATGCCTCTCCCCTCCGGAGCAGCATCCGCCGCGGCGTGGGGGGGGCGGGGAGCAGGGGGGGGGGACCGCACCACGGCCCGAGGCATGTGCGCGGACGAGTGGGGGCCAGGGGATGCGGCGGACGAAGAAGAGCACCGATGCGGACAGCAGTGAGGAGAGGCGATGAGCACGCACGCAGACGAGTCGAACAGAAAAATGACCCTGGCGACGTACCCACCCCTTGCGCACTGCGGGGCAGAAGTACATCAGGATTGCTGCAACGGGGGCGATGACGTAACATGGACGCATGTGATTCTGCGAGCAGCAATCGGAAGGCTCGCTGTGCCATGCGCCCGTTGCACCCCACGTATCCCACAACAGCTCTTGAGAGCCCCCGCGGGATACGTGTAGGCGCAACGTTATGGCCATCGCCCGGCAGATGGTCTGTTTCACAAATCACCCCCGTTGGCTGTGCCATGCGCCCGTTGCGCCTAACGTATCCCACAGCATCTCTCCAGAGCCCCCCAGGGACGGCGAGGTCTCGCTCAGGTCCCCGCGGTGCCTCACTCCGCTGGACCCACCAGCAGCCCTCGGAAGTGGCGACAGTGTCGCAGATCGCAGCCCCCGCAGGGACGGCGAGGTCTCGCTCAGGTCCCCGCGGTGCCTCAGTCCGCTGGACCCACCAGCAGCCCTCGAAAGCGGCGACAGTGTCGCAAAGCGCAGCCTCCTCCAGGGACGGCGAGGTCTCGCTCAGGTCCGCGCGGTGCCTCACTCCGCTGGACCCACCAGCAGCCCTCGAAAGCGGCGACAGTGTCGCAGATCGCAGCCCCCGCAGGGACGGCCAGGTCTCGCTCAGGTCCCCGCGGTGCCTCACTCCGGAGGACCCGCCAGCAGCCCTCGAAAGCGGCGACAGTGTCGCAGATCGCAGCGCCCCCCCCAGGGACGGCGAGGTCCCACGCCCGACTATTCGCCAGCGTGGCAGTGCGGGTCACTGCAGCTCTTGTCCAAACCACGGGGCGGGCCGACAAGACGACTGGGCCAGGAAAGGGACGGAAACGGGCAGGAGAGCGAGGAGCCGAGGAGCGACAGGCAGGAGAGCGAGGAGGCCTGAATCGGCGAAGCGTCGCCTATAGGCTGGCGAGAGGCCCCCGACTGCGAATCCGCACCGTGCCTAGGCGGGCAGGGCTGCCAGGACCCTGTCGGCGATCGAATGGCGACTTGGGGTAGATTTATGTCGGGCGTGTCCCCCTACAGGGGGATTTTCGACGAAAAATAAAAAATGCCCCAACAATACCCCAAGAAGGCTAAAGCATACTCAAAAAATAGTCCCCAGACAGACTATTTTTGGAGCATTGTTTGATTATGTTTTGGGTATTTTTAATAATTTGTCGTCGAAAATCCCCCTGTAGGGGGACAGGCCCGACTTAACCCTGAGCCTTTCCCCCGACCGCCGCCCCCCCGGGGACCCCCCCTCCTGGGCCCCCCGGGGAGCCGCGCTGGGATGCTTATGCCCATCTCTTCCATCGCTCGGACGTCCATTTCCCGTGCCTTTTTCGGTTTCGTGCGTTTTTTTTTGCTCGATGGTCCAGGATGGTCCTCGATGGTTCTCGCCGAGAAGACATGCACACGTCCGGGCGATGCCAAGCCCCTCTCTTCCACGGCACACTGTGCCATCTGCGAAGGCATGTGCCGGTCCGTCGTCCCGCCTGGGCAGGACGGCGGACATCGAAGGGCACCGGGAGAGAGGGACAGAGGACAGAAGGGAGCACGAACGACGTAAGGCACACGCCGTCGGAGGCCCGCAGGGACGTCTGGGATCGGCGCTGGGCCCACCCCTTCTTGACGCGCGGCGCGCGCCAGGGGCGGCGCCGACAGGGCGGGGGGGGGGCAGCGCAGCTCCCAGGAATCCACGCGCGCACCTCCGCATAGGTCTACTTGGTCTTCGACCTTTCGAGCTGGATGTACAGCCTATCCTACACGTCTGCATATCTACCCTCGCCTTCGCCTACGCGTCTGCCTCGCCTCTCCCGTGCGTGCTGACGGTGCGTCTTCGACTCCGACGTCTGCGCGCCGCCTGGGGGTCCCTCTGGCAAGCGCTGAGGGGACAGGCACACCTTCCGGGCGCCAGGGTCGCACGGCGCCCGCCACGAAGCCTCGCCGCCGCCGCTCGTCTTTGGGAAGGCAGCGTGGCATCGCTACAGATGCTTCGCTGTGAGATGCCACGCTGTGGGATGCTGGACGCCACACTGCAACTCTTCGCGCACATAGGAGCAACATTGGCAGAGGCACCCTGGATGGGGTCGGAGCAGATGGCGTCGGAGGATCGCGCCGCATCGCCGATACATCGGCGAGGCATCGGCGACGCCGACGTGAAGCAACATGGGGACACACATATAGCCGCATCGGCGATGCATCGGCGATGCGTCGGCAATCCTCCGACCCCGTCAACTCCGAACCCATCTAGGAGGCCAAGAATCAGTCTCACGGCTGAACGATATCAGTCGCATGGTGTAGAACTACCCACCCACACATCTGGAGCTCCAACCTTTTTTCGATGCGTTGGTCCCCGGAGGTCTGGACGAATCCCCTATGCAGGGCGGGCTTGTCGTCCCGAGTCGCTTCTTGACGGTTCTGGGGTCAGTTGCGGAACCCTGGAGGCCGAGAGTAACCAATCACTCGACGTTGCGATCTTCATAGGTGCATCTCATGCTGCTGTCACGTCTTGCTGAGGACCCCTGTCTGTGAGCAACTGCGTATGGAAGCAAGTCCGCGTAGACGACAAGCGCGGCAACGACGACGACGACGACCGCGACGACTTCAATGACGTCCTCCTCCTCATCTGGACATCCTCCAGGCCAGACGAGGGAGAGACAAAAGAAAGAGCGAGGGGGACTTCCTGTTGCCGTGCTCCCCGCGGGAACGCAGGCAAGCGCGCAAGACGCTATTCTACGCCCACTCTCTGGCGTGTGCTACTCGCGGCGCCTGCTGGCCTTTGGAGCGCCCACGTGCCACGCGGGCTGTATATCGCGGCAGCCACTTGTGGGTGAGCCTTACTGCGAGTGAATATGAGCGTGGGCTCGCCATCGCTCGGACGTCCATTCCCTGTGTTTTTTTGGTTCCGTGCGTGTTTTTTTCGCCACATGATCAAGGATGCTCCTCGATGGTCCTCGCCGAAGTAAACATGCACACGTTCGAGCGATGCCAAGTGGGTGATCTGAGTGAACCGAATTGGAGTCAGAGTGGATCCGGGCATGACTGAGCATGAGTGTGGAAGACTATGGATATAGTCAGTCTCAGCACGAGTGGGTATGAGTATGAGCGAGTCCGAGTGCGAGCGAGTCTGAGTCTGAGTGCGAGTGGGTCTGAGTGTGAGTGAGTCTGACTGTGGGTGAGTCTGAGTTTGAGTGTGATGAATACAAATCTGGATACGAGTGAGCCTGGGTGCGAGGTAGTCAGAGTATGAGTGAGTCTGAGGGTGGGTGAGTCTGACTGTGGGTGAGTGTGAGTGTGAGTTGGTCTGGATATGATTTAACAAGAGTATGGGTGAGTCTGGATGTGAAAAGTGGTTATGGGTGAGGAAGAGGTGCTGACGTGCAAGTTCGAGTGAGAATGAGTGCGCCTGAGTGAGGAACAAGGGGAGGATGTGAGTGAGCGAGTGAGTGAGTGAGTGAACGAGGAGCACACAAATCCAAGAGAAGTCTGCCAACCAAAAACTGGCAAACCGCTTGGGACCCCCCCTGGCGGCTCACCCTTGGGGTGCCCAAGTGCCACGCCTGCCATATCGCGGTGAGCACTGGACCACCAAGAGACAAACGTTTTTGAAGGGCACTGGGACACACGAATAAATACACACAAATAAAACGATTCCCCATGTTTTCCAATATTTGTTGGGTGTTTGTCTTCCCCCCACTTCCCACCGTTTCCAATATTTTCTGGGGGATCGACGATTAATTGTGTCTGTGTGTTTTTTCCCCTCCTGAGTTTTGGGGGGCAGAAACACCACCCCTGGATCCCTGAGGACTTTGCCCCACGTCAGCGCCATCGTCGCCGCCGACGCCGTCGTCTTCGTGGTCGTCGTCCCCCTTCAAGGTCGGCGGCACCCGCCGTGAGGCCTTCCCAAAAACAAAGAATCCCAACTAGGATATGGGGGAAAACGTGCCGCTCTGGGACTTTCTCCACGTCGTGGCCCCTCCTCCACGACGCGCAGCCCGTCCGCTCTCGCGGCGCCGTCGTCGACGTCGTCGTCGCTGTCGTCTTCGCAGCCGTCGCTGTCGTCGTCGTCGCCGTCGCCGGCGCCGGCGTCGGCGACGTCGTGGCTCCTCCTCCACGACGCGCTGCCTCTCCGCGTCCACGGCGGCGTCCTTCTCGCGCTCCTCTCGGGCGTGAATGACTGCTCCCCCCTTCAGAGCTCCTCCTCCTCCTCCTCCTCCTCCTCCTCCTCCGCCTCCTCCTCCTCCTCCTCCTCCTCCTCCTCCTCCTCCACCTCCTCCTCCGCCTCCTCCTCCTCCGCCCTCTCCGCCTCCCTCCTCCTCCTCCTCCTCCTCCGCCCTCTCTGCGGGGGCGAAGCGGTTCACGTTTCGAGCCCCGTCTGGGCCCCAGGGGGCCACCGTAGAGCCCCCTCGGCGCACAGAAGGCGCGCACCGCTCGCCGCCCCCCCCCCCCCCCCCCCACTCCGACTGCCTACCGGACCACCCCACCCCACCAACCCAACCCGAAGGCCCGAGCTTCGGGTTGCGGGGGGGGGGGTACGGGTTCCAGATGTGTCTATGATCAGTGTTCCCCGGCCCCTCCACGCTGGAAACCGAGGGCAAAGTGAAGCCTTCGGCCTGGGCTGGGGTGGCGTGGGCGGGTGGTGGCAGGCATGGCCCCCACCCCCTTGCTCGACGCCCCCGATCCTCGGCCTCCTGCCTGCGGGCCGCCTCGAGGGCCTGCCGCCGGGCCTCGAGCTGGGCCTCCACCTGCCGCCTGTGCTCCAGCACCTTCATGCGCCTCCTCGAGGGGGCAGGGCACGACGCGGAACGGCAAGATGCACGATCTTGATTGCACGAGGTCGCAGAGGAAAGCAAAGAGAATGGCACCTCTCGGGCGCGCGCCGGGATGCATGCGATTGTCCAGCACATGCCCGACTGGGGTGAGACGCTCGCTCTGGGCACCTGCCTGGAGCCCCTCGCGCCGCCCATGCGTCGGTGGTGCGTCCAACGCCCGTCGACCTGAGTCGAGCTCGAGTCGAACTTGAGCCACACTCGGGTCGCAAAGAGCGGAACTGGAGTCGAGCCAGCTCCGCTGCGTGGGCCCAGCGACAGAGTCCCCCAAACGAACACCTAATCGGGAGGGGACCGGCGCAAGGAGCGCCGGGCTCTTTGGGACGACGGGAGGCTGCGGGCAGTCTTCGGCCTCCGGGGGCCCTCGCCAGGCCCTGGGACTGTCGAGACATGGCGCGGGATGAAGAGCAGGTTCGTTCCAGGGCGGGGGGTCCAGACTTCTGGGCATCCACGCTGTGGGGAAATCGCGACGTCGGTGGTCTGGAACTGGCTCAGAGGGGGGAGACGTCGACCTGGAATCTGCGGTACGTCGCCGACACTTCGATCGACCAGAGTGCCCCCGATGGCGAAACAGCGCGGTCCTGGGCGTGGTGGGGCTATCGGGCCCGCGTCGTCGATCGATGGGCGATTGGAAGGGCGCTGCATCGAGGAGGAGGAGGAGGAGGAGGCCCCGCCCACACGTTGCCCCTGATCCTCTGGTCGCTCATCTGCTCGACCTTGTCGTCCTCCGCCATCTTCGCAAGCAGGCTCGCCTACAGAGGGCGCAGGCATGGCAGCGTCAGCAGCAACCTCCGGAAGCCCGCGCGGACTTCGTGGATCGGCGCCGGACACCGTGAAACCTCCCCCTCCTCCTCCAAAATTACTCCATATGAATACTACTCTCCCTCTTCCCCTGATGGCGTCCTGGGAATATTCGACCCCCCCCCCGCGTACTGTTTTTTACACACAGGATTCCCAGGAGTTGGGTATTCGCCTGCGCTTTTTTTTTCAAAATGCTGCTCTCGCTGAGGCGCCGGCCTCATTTCTGCTCCCGAATCGTTCCGAATCGTGCTCCCGCTGCAGCGTGGGCCTCATTTTCGGATCGGTGTTTGGCCTCCGTCGTTCAGGATGGCGTTCTCGCCCCAGCGCGGGCCTCTTTCTCGCGCGCCCATCCGCCCGCCACCACCGCGCCGCACCACGCCCCGCCCCGCCGCACGCACACCCACCGCCACTTCCACCCACCAACGCACGCACGCACGCACGCGCACCACCACCGCGCACCGCCACCACCACCGCACTACCCCACCCACCACCACCACGCTACACCGCGTCACACCACATCACACGCGCGCACACACAGACGCACACGCACGCACGCACGCACGCACGCACGCACACGCACGCACGCACGCACGCACGCACGCACGCACGCACGCACGCACGCACGCACGCACGCACGCACGCACGCACGCACGCACGCACGCACACACACACACACACACACACACACACACAAAAAAAAAAAAAAACAAAAAAAAAAAACAACACACACACACACACACACACACACACACAAACACACACACACACACACACCACCACCGCCACCACCACCACCACCACCGCCATCACGCACGTACGCACCTGGCCACCACCAAACCACCAAGACGCCACACCACGTCACACCACAGCACACGCGCACACACGCACACACACACATACACACCAGCACCACAACAACCACAACCACGCACACACGCACACACGCACGCACGCACGCGCACCACCACCCACTACGCACACGCGCGCGGAGCCACAGGTCCGCTACGACACGCGCCCGAGGATAGAGAAAATCAGCGCCATGGTAAGGGATGGGAGGGAGGGGTAGGATGTCAGATGTTGACGCGAGCGCACCTAACTTGTCCCCCTCCCCCTCCCCCTCCTCCTCCTCCTCCTCCTCCTCCTCCTCCTCCTCCTCCTCCTCCTCCTCCTCCTCCTCCTCCTCCTCTGGCGCGCCAGTGGCGGCCCAACGCTGGCTCCAAGAGATCTGCGCGGGCCTCCGAAGGTCTGCGCGTAATAAGTACGCCTGCCGCTTGTCCTTCCGCGATGTGGGGGGGGAACACAGGAAGGCACGATACCGCTACTCCCCTGGACGTCTCCTTGGCTCATGTTGCCCCCATCGCACTTACGGGCCACGTCCCAGAAATAATTTCGGGCACCCAGAAGAAGTGTCGGAAGAGTGTCGAACGAGTGTCCCCCAGGGCCCGACACGTCAAAATCCTCGAGTTTTGGGGGTGGTTCTTGGTGCTCGAAATTCATTCGGGTGATCAAGGCTAAAGTAGGTTGGAACATCATAATCCTTGGGTGCACTCTGGCCAGAATGTCGAGGAGAATCCAGCCGTGGCGACGAGGGCTCTCCAGGACGCGTAGCGGCATCGGTACCCTTCCCTCCCCGGACGATCGCCTGCAGCTCCCTCTCCTCCTGGGCCTCCCGTTGCCGGCGGGCCTCCTTCGCCCTCATGGAGGGAAAAGAAACTATGACCATGGCCAAGACTGAACGCTGAAACGTCGGTGTCGATCTTGGTCACCGTCGATCTTGGTCAATCGTCAATTTGTTCATCTGTGACTGCTGTCATGGGCAATGACCAAAATCGGCTTCGACAAGATCCCGCGACACCTCCAAGCACCCACGTCATGATCTCTTTACGATTGCGACCCCCGAATCCTCGCGAATCTGCGACTGAAGGCATCGGCCATGACCAAAATCGGCGTCGACAAAATCCCGCGACATCTCCAGACGCCCGACATTACGATCTTTTCCCGACGTCGACCTCTGGCCCAGAGGTCCTGGTACATCTCCCCGGACAACCGTTTCATCCGGGGCTGTTTTTTGACGGTCGCAGAACCCTGCGAGGGCGCCCAGGGGCAGAACATCCGCCACCGTGCCCTTGAGGCACGAGTTGAGGTGTCCTCAGGTCCACTACCTAATCCATGAAGCCCCAGTCCTCAATCCTGAAAACCCCTTCGAGGGGCCTGGACACCATGTTGCCAAATCTCTTGGGGCTTGCCGCGTGCCCCCGGGGCTCGGTCGCGGCTTGTCGCATGGGTTGTTCGGGCCCAAGGAGGGCTCCCAGACGGGCCAAGAGGGTCCTCAGAGGCCCCCGCGACGGTCCAAAAGGGAAACGAAGTGCCGAAAACGCCCAGGATGGCCCCAAGATCGCTCAACAATCCTTCGCGGCGCCTCAAGAGAGCCACAGGAAGCGTCCCAAGAGGATTCCAAGTGGCAACGTTCAATGATGTTCCCAAAGTTATCCAATGTTTTAGGAGCTCTCGGCTATTCGAGCTTCCGACGCTCCAAGATGGCTCAAAATGCCCCAAGGAGCGCCCCAAGACGGCCTCAAGAGGGGGAACACGAACCGAAACTCCAGCCTTTCGCCACCAAGAGGCCCCCAACAGGCCCCAAGAGGCCCCGAACAGGCCCCAAGAGGCCCCACGAGACCCCCAAGAGCCCCCCACGATACCCCCAAGAGGCCCCCACGATACCCCCAAGAGGCCCCAGGGGGCCCCCAAACAGCCAGCCCCCCAGAGGCTTCAAAACCGCCTCCAGGCCCCAAACCAGTCCCCCAGAGGCCTCAAACTGCCCCCAGGAGTCGCCTGAGAGGCCCCGACGAGGTCACAACGAACATCCAGGAGCAGCAGAAGCGTTTTTCTAGCGGCCGTGATGACGGCCCCAGCCTTCCCCCTCCCCCCCAGGTAACGTCACGATTCGTGCTGACCTCCGAGTTGTGCCTGGCAATTCTCAAACATTCCAAGACGGCGCCAGCGCGAAACGTGACGTTACTGCCCCCCCCCACACCACCACCACCATCACCACCCCAGAAATCTACCCGCAGGCGAGAAACCGGCGAGGAAATCCTGGCGGGAGTAAAGGAGGTATTTTTGTCGCCGAACAAGACATTTGAACGTACAAGCGAAGAACTTATGTCAGGCGAGCGGGGATATTGCTCTCTGTCAAACGAGAGAACTGTTCCGGACGAGCGAGGAAACTTGTTCCGTTGAACGAGAAAATGTCTGAGAGTTGGGGTGGGAAGTTCCAGGAGGAAGCCTGCCGTCACTGCGGGGGACTGGGAACCCTTTGATGGAGCCCTGATTTCGTCGCTGCCGCCTAAAACCGAAAGCCCATGAGAAGCAGCGAACCTTCTAAACACAATCGTTTCTCCAAGCACCCTTCCCTTTGAAGCCTCCCTCTTCCGATACACAACGAACCCCCTGCTCGCCCGAACAAAAATCCCGGTGCGCCCGAAGAATTTGTCCCCATTTGGAGCCGCATTTCCCTTTTTTCATCCGGGTGACGACCGCCAGGCCTCGGAAGAAATTAGCGAACACATCTGCCACATTCATGTGTCAATGCCCCCCCAATGATCAATGTCGGCGGTGGCTTGGAGGAGTTGCACTTCGACCGCAGTCTTCCCCGCGCGTGCCAACCTTGAAGTTTGGTGGGCGGGGGAGCGTCCACTTATCGTTTCCCTCTACCAGCTGCCGCCCTGGAACACCAAACTGTCCCAGAATAGCCAAACATACCAGACTATGTTCTATTATTTTTGAATACTACTCTTGTAGAGGAACATGCCCTTAGTGCACCCTGGAAACGACAGGGCCGTTTATTTACCGGTTCCGTTTTGCCGTTTTTTTGCCAGTTCCGACGCCGTTTTTTATCGGTTCCGTCGCCGTTCTTTTACGGGTTCCCGCTCCGGTTCCAATCCTGGAGCCGTTTTTGTTGCCGTTTCCGGTCGCCGTGTTTTTGCCGTTTCCATTTTCAAAGGACACTCTTCGGAAACGGTGAAAAAACGGCCCTGCCGTTTCCGGGGCCCACTGAGGACATGCCCGACTCAACTCTCGGCCAGGATCAGCGCGCTTCTTCCCTGGACCTCAGCTGCTCCTCGTGGCTGCGCTGCGCCCGCGCCCGCTCCTCCGCGGCCAGGCGCGCCCGCCGCTCGTCCTCGGCCCGCTGCAACTCCAGGCGCTCCTCGTGCCACAGGTCGTCGATCACCTCGCGATGGCCCAAGATGATAGGCAAGAGAAGTACACCCAAAACCCTGGGGAGAGGGCCCAATTTAGGAGGGCCAAGAATAGTAGGGGTAGGGGGTCTTTCTGCAGACGTGTGAGACCAAGCAGCCCAGATGCATTATCCCTAACGCGAGGACTGAGACCTAAGTTAGGCTGCGTTTGCATCGTGGTTTTAGGGTAGGTTTCTTTTTGCTCTCGAAGACAAGATGGCACCCCCGCTCCCCCAGAATCTCAAGGCTCGATGATGTAACTTGAACATATGTTCGCCATTCTTGGGCTTCCGAGGGGCTCCTCGTCGCCACGACTGGATCCGCATTGACATTCTGGCCAGAACGCTCCCCAGAAAAGGCCTGGGGATTGACTTTTGATGCCCGAGCCCTGACATCCTCGCGTCGTGGGAAAAATCACGGGATCCTTGGGCCCTCGTCGGGGCCAAGAACATCAAACAGCTCCTCGGGATGAAACAATGGATCGGGTCACAAGGAAGGAGGCAACTTCGAGAAAATTCAATGGGCCATGCATCGATATCAGCCCAAATCAAACCCGGGATTCCTCTGGATTGAGCGGGGTAAAGGTGGATCAAACGGGACTCCGTCGGATCAGACCGGTTTTCCAGCACGGACATACCAGCGGCGATGCTGAGACCCAGCTCTCAAACACTGTGGTCTGTTCACTCCTGGCGCGCTGCTCCCCGAGCTCGGTACTACTCGGGGGCCCTCCGTCGGGCACCGCGGGGCCGTCCAACCATGGACCTGGGCCGAAACGCTGCCCACGGGGAAGGGGTCGGGGCCTCCTGGGCACCCCAGAAGTGTCAAAAAAGACGGCCCCAGACCCCCCCAGGATCGCTCCCAGACGCCCGCGATGGCCCCAGGATGGTACGAGAGACCTCCAAGACGCCACGGGTAGCCTCCGAGAGGCCTCCCAAAAGAGGGCCCCAGATCCCCCCAGGATCGCTCCAAGACGCCCGCGATGGCCCCAGGATGGTGCGAGAGACCGCCACGACGCCACGGGTAGCCTCCGAGAGGCCTCCCAAAAGAGGGCCCCGAGGGGCAGACATCACACGGATTGTCCGCCCTCGCCTGCTCGACGTCCTGGCTCTCTCGCAGGACGGCCCAAGATGACCCCCAGGACCACCCCGAGGCGGCCGACGAGGCCTCCAAGAGAGAGCCCCGAGACGGCCCAAGAGCGCCCCGAGGCGCCCCAAGAGGCGCCCAAGACGGCCTGGCCCCAAGGCGGCTCCAATGAAGGGGCCCTGGGACACACGAATAAATACACTCAAATAAACAGATTCCCAATATTTTCCCATATGTTCCCCCCCCACTTCCTATATTTTCCCATATTTCCTAGGGGATCGTCGATTCATTGTGTCTGTGTGTTTTTCCCCTCCTGATCCAAAGGGGCCCAAGAGAGGGAACGCGAACCGAACATCCGAGCCTTCCGCCCCCAAGAGGCCCCCAGGAGGCCCCCAAGAGGCGCACGAGAGGCTCCCGGAGGCCCTCCACAGGCCCCCGAGAGGCCCCAGCCCGAAAGAGAGCCCACGAGGCCACAAAACGGCCTCCAGGAGGCTTCGAAACTGCCCCTTAGATTGGACGCCCGAGTTATCCCGGTAACTCGGGTCCGGGGTAACTCGGGTTTGGGGTCCCGAAAAAACGAACCCGAGTTAGCCCTGACCCGGGTTACCCCTGATGATTCGGGGCTCTGGACGCCCGAAATATCCGGGGTAACTCGGGCCCGGGATAAGTCGGGTTCGGACTCCCGAAAAACGAACCCGAGTTAGCCCTGACCCGAGTTACCCCTGATGATTCGGGGCTCTGACATGAGGCCACAAAACGGCCTCCAGGAGGCTGCGACACTGCCCCTTAGAGGCCCTCGAGAGGCCACTACGAGATCCCAACGACCATGCAACAGGCTTTATACCAACAACCCAGGCGCGGTGGCGGGATGGGCCGAATGCCACTCGATCCGCCGCCCCCTGCTTGCAGGGGTGCACGGCGTGCTGGACGTTTCAGGTTTTGGTTTTGGTTCTTTTTCTAAAAGAACTCCCCAGTGGGCTTCGGCCCGTCCCGCCGGCCACCCGCAAATTGCCCCAAAACCCATCTCTCAATGCCCAAAAACGGCCGTTTCGCTCGGGACATCCTCAAAAAATCGCGAAGATGGCCCAAGATGGCCTCCAAGTCCGCCCGAGATGGTCCAAGACGGCCTCCAAAACGGCCCAAGAGAGTCCAAGACGGCCCAAGACGGCCCAAGAGGCCCCCCAGAGGCCTCCCAGACGGCCCAAGAGGCCTCCAAGAGGTCCTCCAGGAGAGTCCGAAGAGGCCAAAATCATTGATTTTCCCTTGGTTTTTGAAGGATTTTGGCATTTGCGCCTTTTCGGCTCTCCGACGGCTCAAGACGGCCCAAGAAGCCCCCAAGATCGCCCAAGAGGCCCCCAAGAGAGCCCCATGATGGCCCAAGTGGCCTCCAAGATGGCCCCTAGAGGGCCCCAAGAGGGCCCAAGAGGCCTCCAACACGCCCAAGATGGCCTCCCAGACGCCCAAGATGGCCTCCAAGACGGCCCTGGAGCATTCCAAGCGGGCCCCAAGTCGGCCCATAGAGGCCCCCCAAACGGCTTCCGACGGCTTCAGACGTGCCAGGAACCCACCAAGATGGCCGAAGTTGGCTCGAAGCTGGCCCGAGACGGCCCAAAAAGCCCCAAAGATCGCCCAAAGCTTGCCCAAGAGGCCTCCAAGACGGCCAAGATGACCTTCAAGATGCCCACGTGTTCCCCGAAGGCTTTCCAAACCGATTCGGGGAACACGTGGTCCGATAGCTTGGCAGGTCTGGCCTCAACGTTCGGCCACATAGGCGCTTCCAAAAAGGCAGGGGGCGGCGGTGATTCGCCGTAGGCGTCTTCGATACACCACCACCACTACCTTCATCCCCCTCCACTCCTCCAGCCTCTTCCTCCACTCTTTCCTGGCAGAGGGAGTGGGTAAAGGAGGCAATGGTGGCATACTTTTGAGCCCCGGAGCGTGCCGGCACGGGACACCTACAAGCGCACGCCAGTTGGAATCACAGCCGGCATCGCTGCAACGTAGGGGAGTCCTCACGACGCCAGAGTCGCCAAACGCGTGCCCGATTCAGAGGAGCAACGAAAACATAGGCTCAATAATTACTTTCTCTCGGAGCCCCGCGTGGAGTGCTCGGATCGCCGCCGACCCCCCCCCCCATCCTCGACGAGCGGAGCGCGCCAGGGGCGGCTCTGGAGGCGCCGCCAGGGGGGGCCCAGCGCCGCTCCCCAGACGCCTGGGGCAGGCCGGAGCTCTCTGAGACGTGGCGGCTCTGGAGGATGCATCGGGCGCCGCGGCCTCCTCAGAGCGTTCTGGAACGCTCTGAGATAGGAGGGCACCAACTATACACCAACACCGATCCTGGCCCAGGATCACCCAGGGCCCAGGATCGGTGTATACGCCCTCCTGCCTTGCGCAAGAAGGCACATACACCGATCCTGGGCCCAGGGTGATCCTGGGCCAGGATCGGTGTGGGTGTATAGTTGGTGCCCTCCGACTGGAGCGACTCGCTCCCGTCCTATCCAGAGCCCGAAGACCATGTGGTGACGGAAGGGCGCGGGGCTTCCGAGGCTGGAGCCCAGCCGCTCGAGAGATCCTCGGAGGCCGGCTCCAGCCCCAGCACCGCGCGGTGCCCCGGGATCCCCACTGGCTCACCACACGCGGTGCGGTCACCCGTCACGCGTTCGACGAGAACTCCGACGCCTGCCTTCGCCGCCGATCCAGTTGCCTGCATCGTGGAACGGCGAGGGCAGGGTTCGGATCTTCCCGCCGAGTCCATGCACGTGGCCTCCCATCCGCACCCCGCCCGGAGAGACGCGCCCGCCCGACGTGCCGACGTTCGGGGTCGCCGGGTCGCCTGCCGCTGCTCGTCCGCCTCCCGCTGGCGCTGCTCCACCTGCTCGCGCACCGCCTGCGCCTGCTGCTCCCGCTCCGCCTCGCGGCGCGCCTTCTCCTCCGCCACGCGCGCCTGTGCTGGTCGCCCGAAGTGGGTCGAGACGGGAACGGCACGATGCCTGGCAGCAAAGGAGCGACGATTCTGCACGGGCCCTCCGCGGTGGCTCACCCCGGCCGCCAGCGCGGCACGCCACTGGAAGTGAGGGCGCTGTCGCGCGACCTTGCGCGGGCAGTTTTCAACAAAAGAGTGTCGGCGCAGAGGACCTCGCTTTCCTGCACTGGCCATCGCTCGGACGTCCCTTCCCTGTGCTTTTTCGGTTTCGTGCGTGGCTTTTTCGCCAAATCATCAAGGATGCTCCTCGATGGTCCTCGCCGAAGGAAAAATGCACACGTCCGAGCGATGCCAAGGGACCCCGCTTTCCTGCATCGCTCCAGCGTTACCCAAGCAAGCGCTGTTCGAGGTTCGAGGACCGCAATTACAACTTGTTGTTCGCCCTTTGCGGGCGCCACGGTGGGATCCGCCAGGAAATTCTGGCCAGCAGATTCCCCAGAAGAGGTCTGGGGAAGGACTGCTAAACCCCAGGCCCTGACGTCCTCGCGTCGTGACGAAGTCACGACGGGAATTTGGCGCCAGATTTTCGGGCGAAAACCGGTTCAAGGGAAATAGTCCACTTCTGCGAGGCCTTTGTCATGACAACTAACAGCTTGCGAAACACGATCGAGCCAGACTCGCCCACAGATTTGAGCCGGATCAGCCTGGACTCTGCCGGCCTAAAGCCTGTTTCGACTACGGATGTACCAGCGCCGCTGCTGCATCTGACCTCCTGGGAGCTGGGTCCGAAACACCGAGAGTGGGGCAGGCGGCCTTCTGTCTCAAGTGGACAACGGCCGCGGCGGCACCGACAGCGAGCTGTGTGCTAAGTGGATCGTAAGTAACGGCTGTCGGTCTTCGCCCCTCCTTACTTCGTGCCGAGGAAGCAGGGCGGTAGCGCTACCGCTGCTCCTCGGACCTCTCCCGGGGAGCGTTATGACCACAATTTCAAGGCGAATCTAGCCGTCGCGGCAGCAGAATCTTGGGACACAACGTTTGGGAGGTCTTCGGCAGAACGATTCCAGCCAGTTTAAGCTGGACTAAACTGCATGAAGCCAGATTGAGCAGGATTCATCGGGCTTCGACCCGATTGGGGACACACCAGCGCCGATTCTGAGTTTGACCTCCCAGGAGTCGCATCCGACTAAAGGAGAGAACAGCTGCACAAGCATACTTTAGTAGTGGAAGCAATTGGTTTACAAAATGTTTGGTCTTTAGAAGCTCTGCGTGGCGACGCCCCCGTCGCCACACGTGCCCTCTGCGTGCCTGAGGGGGCGCCGCCACGTAGAAGTACTGGAGACCGAGCACTTGGGGCGTCGCTACGCACGCCCTCTGCGTGGCTGCGACCATTTGTTAAAACCCTAAAACCAATTACATTCGCTAACAAAGTAAGTTCTCGGATGTCCGCGCGGACGTCTTCGATCGGCCGCTGGACCCCCCTCCCTGGGGCGCGGAGCGCGCCGGGAGCGGCGCCAGAGGCCCGGTGCCGACTTCAGAGATCCGCGCAGACCTCCGAGCAAGCATGCTTGTGCCTTTCTGGGGTTCGTCGACCTGAAGTTGAAGGGACCCCAGGACACACAAATAAAAAGATGCCCCATATTTTCCCATATGTTCTGGGTTTTTGTCTTCCCCCCAGTTCCCATATTTTCCTATATTTTCTAGGGAATCGACGATTAATTTTTTCTGTCTGCTTTTTCCCCTCCTGAGAAGTATCGCCACGCTGCGAGGCGGGAATGTATCCATATCCACCGCCTGGGAACCATCGTCCTGGCGCCCCAGCTGGCAGTGGATCTGGATACATTTCAGTTCCCCCCGGGGCCCGAATCTGCCCAGATCCACCGCCTGCCGCCGCGGTCCCCGACGATTGGTCCTCTATAGGCGGGGGTCATGGATGACTTTCCCGCCTCGAACACGTGCCCCCCTCCTCTGAGCAGGTGGATCGTCGGCACCCTCCGAGCCTGGAAGTCGCCCTTCTGCCGCTCGAAAGCCTCGATGTCGGCCCGCTCGGCCTCGGCGAGGCGTGCGTCGGCCTCCCTGCGGGCCTCCCTGTCGTGCCGCGCCTCCTCCATCAGCCGGGCCGTCTCCTCGCGCTTCCGCTGCCTCTGGGCCTGCCAGGATCAGCTGTGCGCACTTCTCAACCGAACCCTCGGAGGCGCAAAGGCGAGTTAAACCGAATGTGACTGGACTCCTTTCCGCCGCCCGCCCCTCGGCCGCTGCATGGAAAACCACCGACTCCCGCATCCCATCTCCTCGACCCTCCCCCGGACCCGGCGTCGTGATGTGTTTCGCAATGCGGGACACAAGAGATGCCCACCTCTCCTCATGAACTGTTTCTGCATCCCGAGTCTTTATTTGACGGCCCTGGGCATCCGATGGAGGCCGACAAGTCAAACGTTCCCGCTGGCATGGCTTTGGTCACGCTGGCCGACACCCGGATCTACGTTTAAGTCGGGCCTGTCCCACTACAAGGGGATCTTCGAAAAACGTAAAGAATATTCGAAAATAATCCAAAAATAGTCTGGGGACTATTTTTTGAATATTTTTCTGCCTTTCTTGACAATTTGTGGGGGTATTTAAAATTCTTCGTCGAAAATCCCCCTGTAGGGGGACACGCCCGACATAAATCTACGTTCCCGTGCTCTGGGCCCGCGGGCTCCCCCCAGATGGCATGAGCCCCTGGGCCCCGCCGGTCCCTCGCCACCCGCAGATGGGATTTGCAACGACGACGACGACGACGACGACGACGACGACGACGAGGGTTCAGCGCACGCGGCACGAGCCCCGAAGAATAGACGCCCACGAAGGCCCCACAGCAGCACCACCAAACAACAACAGGAGGCAGGGACCCATCGGGGGGGGTTATCCCACTAGCTCGGGGATCTTCTGACCTGGGTAGACCCATACCCGGCTCAGTCAGGCCTCGCGGGATCCTGCAAGATCCTGCAGGATCCTGCAACCACGCCCGGGTCCGTGCGCCCTGGCCCTGAAGGATCCTGCAAGATCCGGCGCGCTGACTGACCCCCGGTTGCATTGAGCCTCGTCTCAAGAGCCCTGACTAGCATTGGTGAAGGGGCCATGAGACACACACATAAATACACACAAATAACAGGATTCCCCATATTTTATCATATTTTCCTGGTTTTCGTCTTCCCCGTCACTTCCCATATTTTCCCATATTTTCCTGGGAGTCGACGATTAATTGTGTCTGTGTTTTTTCCCTCCTGAGTCTCAAGAGCCCTGACTGGCATTGGGGAAGAGGGGCACGGGCCCAAGCCCTGGACCACATGCTTTCTCCCTTGGGTGTAGCGGGGCCTGTGTAGCCCACATGGGGGGGGTGGGGCTGGTGGGGCCGAGATGCTACGGACCAGTGGGGATTCGGGGATGGACAGACCTCCCTTTCGTAAAACGTGGTTTAGTGAAAACGACCTCGGGCCCAAACCTGGCGGGCGCAAGCCTGGAAAATAACGGCCACGGCGCCCTCTCGAGAACCGAAAACGGACAATTCACTAATCGACGTGTCACTGTTGGGGGTTCTGTCCACCCCCGAGGGATGGGGATCGTTTCGTGATTCGGTTATGGAGGCATATCTCAGTTGGAAGTTGGCAGATGAGCGGCAAATAGAGGCAAACAACGGCAGCCGATGAATGGCAAATAGCGGCACACGCCTCGAGCCAACCGTCCAACAATCACTCCCAAATTCGTCACCAATGGGCGCCCATCGCACAAAAACACGTTTCTGGTGGAATCTAAGGCTTTCATTGAAAACTCAGCGGAACGGTTAGACGATGCTGAAGTCAGCACCGAGCCCAGAGGTCGGCCCAGATCGGTGCGGGCAGGATCTGTATACATTGCGTCTTGGAGTGCCTGGCTCCTTTCCTAAGAGATCAGATTCGCAGAGGACACGGCAAAACATCTGCCCTCGAGAGGCCAGATGTTCATCCATGTCCACTGCGCCTCGGCCTTTTTTGGCGCCCCCTCCCAAAACATCCAAGACGCAATGGATATGAATATACGTTTTGCCTGCAGTCGGAATGCGCGTAGCTTCGGGCCGCGTCGCGCGCACGTGTCTAGCTCTCGTCGCCCGACCCTAAGTTACTCACCCCCCTCGTCTTGGACGCCCGGTGGCTCTCGGGTCATCTTTGGACTCCCGAAACGGTGCGGCGACATACCGTGCGGTGACCTCGAACCCCCCGAGGACCTCACCGCACGGTCCGTCACCGCACGGCCTTGGGACCCCGGAGGCCCCTGTCGCCCGAGACCTCCTCGGAGATCGACCCTGGAGTCCCAAAACCGTGCGGTGACCCCGAATCCCCACGACTCACCGCACGGTGTGGTCACCGCAGCGTTTGGGGGGCACCCGACGCCTGCTCTCTGCTGGTCGCTGCCCCCCGGTGGGGGGGGGCGCCTCTGGCCGCCGCGGGGACTCCATGCGGCCCCGGGCAGGGGAAGCCGCCGGCGGGGAGGGGGGGGGGAGGAAGGAGAGGGAGAGGATGGAGAGGAGGGAGAGGAGGGAGAGGAGGGAGAGGAGGGAGAGGAGGGAGAGAAGGGTCATCACGCGGGCCTCCCCCTGTGAGGTCACCGGGACGCTGCGGCGGGGCAGCCCGGGGGAGAAGGTAAATTACCGCGGCGAGGCGGGCGCAGCTGCTGCAGCTCCTCCTCCCGCGGCGACGGGGACCCTCCGAGAGAACCCACGGAGCACCCCTCCGCCCCCCCCCCCAAGGTCGAGGAGCAGGAGGAGGAGGAGGAGGAGGAGGAGGGAGGAGGAGGAGGAGGAGGAGGAGGGAGGAGGAGGAGGACAAGGACAGAGGGAGGGAGGAGGAGGAGGAGGAGGAGGAGGAGGAATGAGGAGGAGGATCGGGATCGGGATCGGGCCCTTGGGAGTTCGTCTCTGTGGCCTCGTGCCGCCCTATGCAACAGCCTGCCAGCCTTTACAAGGGGGAACTCTGGGGGGCGAATACGTTCGCCAAACCATCTAGTGCGGCCCGTGGCACACGACGGACGCCGCACCGCCCCCGCAAGCACCCCCTCACGGCACGCAACCTACGGGGGGCCCACGTTGGGGACCTGGGATTACTACCGACCTCTGCCCTTCTTACCCTTCCCCGTGCCTTTCTGCCTCGGGTGCCTCCCCTCCCTCAAAACCGTCGGGGTGGTGGAGACTCCTGGGCTATAGGCGGTGGGTACTGGGGGGGGACTTGGGTCCAAAACACTCTCAGGGACAATTCCTCCCCGAATAAGCTCAGCCAACCTCGAACTACCCCGCAAGTTCTCGACGCTTCTGACACCGCGATGACTCATGGAGGAACGTCTCTCATATGAATTCGAAGGGCGCTGTGCTACCTGACTACCGCTGTTGCTACTACCTACGCCTTGGTGAGCTCTGACAAGAGTTTCGACGCATCCCTCTCGAGCGGGCCCCGAAGTGCTGGGCCGATCTTCCTCTCTGCCCCGACGCTCTTCAGAATGCCTTCGATCATCGACACCGTCGCGATGTCCAGAGGATGAGCTTGGTCGATCGCGTAGATGAGCCTCCCACGAGCCTGCTCGTTCTGCTGCTTCCCCTTGTTGCGTTTCCACTGCCAGTGCAGCACCAGACATCCAACCTCTGAGATCGTCATGTTCGAGAGCCTCTCCACCCAGAACTCCTTGACCTCCCCCATCCACTTTTCCTGGGCGACTCCCTCCTTCCCCTGTAGGCTGGCGGCCCACATCATCACCTGCGTGAAAATGGACACGTACGGCGGTCCGCGGCTCTGAAAGTCGACCTGCTCCCCCGCCTTTTGCTTGGCCTTGAGCTCCTGCGACTGGTCGTTGTACTGCTGGCCCGCGTTCTCGTTCTCGACGGCGAAGTTCGCGTCCGCGCTGATGTCGCACGCGCGGTGCGCCGTGCTGCTGAGCTCCGCGATCGCGCGGCTGTCTGCGAGGACGAGCTTGGCCAGGATGAGCACCAGATTCTGCAATGCGTTGGCGCCTCCTGCCACCTTGCGGGCCTCGTCGCGGGCGCTGCTGCGCCCCTTCTTGGCCGCGGGGGCGGATGACAGGCCCGCCATCCAGGCAGGCTTGGGAAGAGACCCTTCCTCGCTCATCACTCTGGAAAGTGCCCTCCTCGTGACCGTGAGCTTCGTGCAGCGCCGGGTCGACTGCCACTGGAAGATGGCTTGTGGCCAAATGGCTGCAGACGTCATTCAAGTCAGACGCCATGTAGTCACATACCGTACACCCCAACGACGACGGGATCTGGACCTCCGAGAATGTTGCCGAACCACGGGTGGGACATGATCCGCTCAGCAGGGCTCTCTGGAGGCGCTTGTATGCGTTTGACTGGCTGGCGAAGGTCCGTCGGCATACAACGCATATGTTTGTAGGAGTCACCGTAGAGCTTAGATTGTGAACTTTGTGCCTGCGACGCATGTGATTCATGAGATCCCTTCTAGTCTGGAACCGTTGTGCACATAAACCGCCCTCCTCCGTGACCCACTCGCAGCTCCAATGATGTCCCTGTCCGTCCTCTCCTTCAGACTCCGCCGCCCGCTGTTCCTCCTCCTCCTCCAGGTGGCCCATGGGGGGTACCGTCATCGAGAGCTCCCGAGACCTTATTTCAGCGAAGTCCGCTCGGATCCAGAACTCGCGATGCTCTTCATCGGCGAGGTCGCCAGGGTAAAGCGCAAGGTGTGCACAGACTCCTCCTTCGTCAAGGAGTTCCGACGCACGTCGAAAATCAGCATGCATTCGAAGTAGCCACGGATGCGCTTTAGACGGGGCAACCCTGCGGCCAATCATCGGTTTGCCCCCCTCGTCCAGGTCCAGGGTCCCGGATAGAAGACATAGCTCCTGAGCGTGATTGGTGGGGGAAAGGGCCCAGCTCCGATGCCATCCCAAGCGTCTCACCAGCATCTCCGTCTCCGCACTAGCTAGACGCCAATGCTGTCTCACCTTCCGATTCGACCACGATCGAATGCGCCGTTGAACGTTGACGTCGTCGGCGTCCGTGCTGCGCACCGTCGTCGCCGCCTTTCCCTGTAACGCCCTCCTCCCGTATCGAGCCATCAACGAGTCGAGTTCGCGATAATGTCGAGGCGTCAACAGAATTGGTTCTAATCCCGTCAGCGCCGCATTCTGCGCGAAGCTGAGAAACAGCGTCCGCTTCCAGCGGAACGGCACTTCCAGGGTCCAAATCTGCCCCAGGGAGTAATAGGATTCGGCCGTCGCCTGAACCCGTCGACGGATCTCCACCGTCGCAGACTGCAACATGTTGATTTCCGGCCCGAGGTAGCACACATCCTCCTTCAACTGTCCTGAGATCTGCTCACGTCCCCGCCCTCGTGCCCACTGTCTACACTGTAAAGCCCCTGGGCCCTGAAAACAAAGCTGAACCGCCTGCTTGGAAACGTTCTGGGCGTAACCTATCTCAGCCGACTCCCCCGATAACACCTCATCAGCCTGCTTCAGGACCGAAAAAACTGCCCCACCGTATGATGGGGAGAGGCAACGTGCGCACGGCGAATATCGTCGGCGCACAGGCAGCCCCCGACGTCCGCTCTTAATTCTTTCCATCTGGCCACAAGACCCGCGGCTGATGGATCAGACTCCCTCGGCCTTCGAAGCCGCTGCAGGATGGGTCGCGAGAAGGTGCCCCTAAAGATTTCGACAATGAAGGGGCCCCCCATCGCGCCGCCCTCCCCCGTCTGGACGCATACTCCTCCCTCCACCGTCTCCAACCAAATAACACTGCATCGAAAACGTTGGATACACAAGTCAACATTGCGCGGCTCGGCGTGACTATCCACTGGTTGTTGTAATTCCCCCCAAGACCCACTCGCACATGCATTCGTCATGTCCTTATGCGTGCAAGCGAACGAATGGCCCGCGCGTCGGAGGCGCCAGCACAGCAGCTGCACCACTAAAATCCCCCCCTCGCGCCGTCGGCCTGAACAAAATCCGCGCTCGATGACCATGGGAGGGGCTCGACGGAGGCCCGCGTAGAAGGCTTCCCCCAGGGTCGGGAGGACGTGCACCGCACGTCGGCCCACTGGGCCTGGTTTCGCGTTCTTCCTGAGCTGAACACCCGAGCTGGCGCGCCATCTCAGCGGTGTCCTGTTGGTTGCCCGAATATTCCGAAATCCTCCCTCAAGAATCTTCCCAAACAGCTTCATCTCTGGAGCCTCCCGATTGCATCCTACCCCCATGTGCGTGGTGTCAATGTTGTTCGACGGGTCCATGCGCATCAGCCAGAGCTCCGCTGGCGGGGCCCCCGATGGTACCACTCTCCTTTTGCTGGCAGACCGAAAGTATTTCCTCACCCTCCACTGGTCCTGTTGTGCGAGTTCGCAATCCTCCACTGATACGTAAGGCGTTTCCCCTGCAGGGGCTGTCTCCATCCAGGCGTCGAAATCGATTTTGCGTGCCGGCACTCTCCCCTCGCAGCCCTGCTGGGCCCAGTGTTCCAGGAGCGTATCCTCAGAGAAAAGCCCTCCCCGTAGAAGTCGCCCGTCCCGTCGTTTCGGCCCGAGCCGACATCTGGCTGCTTTCCTGGACAAACGCATAGCCTCGGCCATGCGGCGATGTTGCCACGCCTCCCCGATCTCCTCCAGAAGGGCGGTCCGCCTTTCCCTTTGATATTTTTGTCGCTGTCTACGTAGCGATTGACTGAGATTTCTCAAGCGTGCTTCACATTCCTGCAACTCTGTGGAATCCTCGATCATACCAAGACGCGAACGACGAACACGAGCCCGCTCACGTAGGAGTGCGGTACGCTCCATGGCCTCCTGCCTGTACGTCGGGTCGTTGGACACGGTGTGGCTGAAAAACTGCTGCCCCGCACTGACCACTGTGTCGTCCAGGTGCTTGAACAACTCATCAGGCCGTCCGTGCTGCAGCAGAGCTCTCCACGTGTCCTCGCTATCTGACAGGCTGGCCTCGACCGCCTCCAGGAATTCAGCTCGTCTGTCACCATTTCGCAGGCATCTCATCATGTCGTCCTGATTCCAATACATGTGGTGGAGTGAAGGTGTCTCTCCATCCTCTGATAATCTCAAGCCATGCAGCTCCATGTATATGGGGATGTGATCTTTCGGCGGGGCCCCTCGGAATGCTTGGAGTTCAGCAACCAGCCCTCGTAATGGAGAAAATCGATGGACCATGTCGATCATGCCATCGGGTACAAAAAAGTAGTCAATACAGCTGCTCCCTCCCGTCGAACCGTAAAAAATGTGTTCCAGCTCTGCGCCTCTCGAATTCACCGTGAACATGTGGTGGCGCTCATTCGCCAATCGAAACAACTCTCCCGCTCCTCCACGCCTCTGTTCTCGAGCCCGCCCAGGGCCCAAAGAGGAAGACTCCATCTGATACCACTGCCCCGCAATACGGCTGATCCCCTGCCCGTCGTTCAGGTCCACGTACACCAGCGGCGTGCACCTGCTCGGCAGGCACTGGAGGATGTTATCGTACCACTCGGCAACCAGCTGGACGGTGGTCTTGTAGTGGGGGACGAGGCGGGCGTGGCGGGGTTGCGGGGGCAGGTACATCACAATGAATGCCAGGTCGAGCTGTCCATTCTTCACTCGTGCTGCTAGTGCTCGGCCTTCAGCGCCCTGTGGACTCGCCCAGGTCTGGCATATGTGCTGTTCACGGAACTTCGAGCCCAACATCAATGCGCATCCCGTCGAACGGTTGGTGAAAGCGCCGACCCCTGCTTCCGCCTCAAGCACCACGCGCTTGCCGATCTTTCGGCACAACACTTCCGATGCCCGTCTGGATGAGGCCTGTGTGCCCGCCAGCAGCACCGCATCCATGTTGCTGCAGCTCAATGCAATCTCCTGCATCCGCTGGCCCGTCGCGAACATCGGGTTGAAGCCCATGAGACGCAATACCCATTGGCCCACGGACCGCGCCATCGCGGTATCCTCGCAATCGCCTCGGCGGGTCACATGGCCGCCGCGTGCTGGCCACCCCTGGTGGTCTCGTGCCAGGGTGGCGGCTGGAGGAGGAGGAGGAGGAGGAGGAGGAGAAGGAGAGGAGGAATTGGAGGAGGAGGAGGAGGAGGAGGAGGAGGAGGAGAGGAGGAGGAGGAGGCGGCGAGGCACCCTCCCAGAAAACCCACGGAGCATCCCTCCAGGTCGAGGAGGAGGAGGAGGGAGGAGAGGAGGAGGAGGAGGAGGAGGAGGAGGAGGAGAAGAGGAGGGATTGGAGGAGGAGGAGGAGGAGGAGGAGGGAGGGAGGGAGAGGAGGAGGAGGAGGAGGAGGGAGGAGGAGGAGGAGGAGGAGGAGGAGGAGGAGGAGAGGAGGAGGGAGGAGGAGGCGGAGGAGGAGGCATCGGCACTCCCGGCCTGCTCGGCCTCGTCCTGCTCGACGACCCGGGCCACCAGCCTCTCGACGTCGGCCCTGTCCTGGAGGAGCTGGGCCGCCTGCTGCCCCGACCGCTGCCTCTCGGTGATCTGCTCCTGGGCGGCGGCACGCAAGCTGGCCATCGCTCGGACGTCCATTCCCTGTGTTTTTGTCGGTTTCGTGCGTGGTTTTTCCGCCAAGTGGTCAAGGATGCTCCTCGATGGCCCTCGCCGAAGGAAAAATGCGCACGTCCGAGCGATGCCAGGCAAGGAGAGCGACCCAGCGCGGGTGTGACCTCTGCTGCGCGGCCCGGCCGAGCGCTGCGTGCGACCCGACCCCGCCCCGGGGGGTCACCCCGCCTCGCGCCCCGCGCCCCGCGGCGCGAGGGGCGGGGTCCTCCCTGCGCCGTCGGGCCGCAGCCCCGGAGAGCAGGGCGCACCTCCGGCACAGGCGCCGCGACGCGCGGAGCGCGATCCGCTGCGCGCCCCCAGCAGCGGCCCGAGGCCTCCTCAACCTGCTCGCGTCGTGAACACCAAAGCGACGGACAACAACAAAAAATTAGCCGTGCATTCGGCCTCCGCGGGCCCTCGCTGGGCCCCGGGACCGTCGAGCAGCGGCTCGGGGTGAAGAGCCCGCCCATGGGGAAAGGGTCGGGACTTCCAGGGAACAGGTACTGAAAAAACTCAGAGATCGCATGTGTGGATTTGGAGCCAGGCATGCCGATCGTCGCATGCGATGCGAGGGCACGGACGGGCCTGCACGCTTGAACTACAGTGGGCATTTGCGGTCGGAAATCTTGCTAGGAGAAATCTGGGGGCACTTTCTGCGTCGATCTTGGACTCCTGAGGTGTCGCAGGGCTTCTGTGGGTTCACCATGGGATGCGACATTTCTATGGGGCATCTGCTGGCAGGCCGATTTCTGACCCGATGCACCTACTGTTGGCCCCCTGGTGCTCCCCGAAAGCCGCGCACCAAAGGCCGTTCTGGCGAAAAAGCACTCGGCTTCCAAGCCAAAACTCGAATATCTCGCGGCCGCTCGGGGCGAATCCGGGCACAAACGGAACGCGCTCGGCGAGGCGCAGCTGCTGGAACGCATCCCAAGGCAGGACAATCACCAAGGACCTACGAGCACGCCCGAAAACGGTCCAGCCGCGCCCTAGAGCGCGAGGTTCGGGGACATGTCCGTGTACACCGCCTGGGAATGGACGTCCTGGGACCGCGGCGGGCGTGGATCTACTTCGGCCCCGGAGGGCCCGGAAGCATAGTCAACGTGTGTAAGAAGGATGCACGATAAGGATGCAGGGGCCTTGGAATGCCATGTCGACACATTTCGAGCGGGGCGCGGCCAGCGAACGTGGCCAAGGATGGGGCAGAGTAGAAAGATGCAGGGGTAACAGTGGAACGTCGCTCATCCTCACGTTTTGCGTGGACTGCATGCGCACCCCGACACCTGCCGAGGTCCCCGCAGCTCGCTTCCCCAGGGGGTGATTCTGGACAGATCCCCGCCTCGGACAGGGGCCCCTCCGGCGAAGGGCCACCCCCACGTGCACGCCGAGGTCCTGCTGCGCCGCCATCACCTCCCGGCGCCTCTGCACCAGCTCGTCCTCGGCGCGCGCCCTGGCCTCGAGCTCGCGGAGGCGGTGGGACTCCTGACTACCTACCAGACCACCCCAACCCAACCCGAAGACCCGAATTGCGGGTTGGGGGGGGTGCGGGCTCCATATGTGTTCTCTGGAAATGGAGGGCAAATTGAGGCCTTCGGGTTGGGTTGGGGTGGTTTGGTGGGTGGTGAACTCCTGCTCGGTGACCGCGCGCGCCTCCAGCTGGCGCTCCTCCTCCTCCCGGGCCTGCTGGCCGAGCAGCTGCACGGCCCTGCCGCGCTCGTTCGCGGCGACCTCTCGCTCGTGGCCCGACGACTCTTCTGCCGCCGCTCGCTGCGCTGGAGCGTCCCCGACCTGCTGCCATGTCCCCCTGGAGATCGATCTGGAGCTACCTCGGCTGATCTGGAACTGCCTCGTTGTATCTGAATGCAGGGCTGAACCTGAACGCTGTGTTTCGTTTTCGTATTGTGCTCGTTTTCCCAAACTCTTGTCTCCACTCCGCCTTTGCTGCAAAACGGAGTCGCAACGAAAACGGCCCACGAAATCACCAACAACCTCGGTTCAGGTCTAGAGCCCTGTCGGAAGGTGCCTTGCTCTACCTGGCACTGCTCCCCGCAGGCCGATTTTGGCGAAAAGTCGTGCGCAGCCCCCAAGGGAACCTTCAGCTTCTGCTTCAGCGCCCGCAGCTCCTCGGAGCTGTCGACGATCCTGCGGCGCTGGGCGTCCTCCCGCGCCGCCTCCGCCTTCCTCCTCTGCAGCTCGTCCGCGAGCCGCTCCTCCAGGCGACGCGCCGAGGCGGGGGAGTTGGCTGTTCTCCTACGTGTCTTCGTCGGTTTCCAACGGTCTTCCAGCCTCGGGGCGCTTTTCCAGCATCTGTGAAGGGGCCCCAGGACACACAAATAAATACACACAAATGAAACAAATCCATCTATTTTCACACATTTCCTGGGTTTTTGTCTTCCCCTCACTTCCCATATTTTCGCATATTGTCTTGAAAATCGACGATTCATTGTGTCTGTGTGGTTTTTCCCCTCCTGAAGCTGCGCCTCGCCGAGGACGTTCTGGGGCTGCCAGGATTGTTCCGGCGAACCGCCGAGGAGCCGAGCTAGGACGGAACAAAAACACCAGGCGTCCGAGAAGGGGTAAGCACTGTCGAGAAGGCGGCTGGGCTTCCCAGAAGCCCTCTGGCCTTCCGAGAAGCCCTCCTACGGCTCTGGAGAAGGCTCAGAAAGCTTCTCAGAAGACCCGAGTCTTTCTGTGGAGCCCTCCTAGATGGGGTCCGAGTATATGGGGTCGTGGGGGCGCGCCACATCACCAATGCATCGCCGACGCATCGGTGACGCGTCGGCGATGCATCGGCGACGTCAGGGGTGTATCGGCGCCATCGGCGTGGAGAAACTCTGGCTCCACATCGAGCCACATCGTCGATGCATCGGCGATGCGGAGCGATCCTCCAACCCCATCTGCTCGAATCTCGAACTCCATCTGGGAGGCCTAGATTCTGGGCCTTCTGAGGAAGCTCGCCCCTTCTAGGGGAGCAAACAATGACAACAACATAAAAACTCGGAGGTCCGCGCGGATTTCTCGGATCGGCGCTGGACCCTCCTCCCTGGCGCGCGGAGCGCGTCAGGGGCGGCGCCGGGGCGCCACCAAGGGGCCCCAGCGCAGATCCGAGGAATCCGCGCGCACCTCCCAGCTTTTACGCTGACGTCGTTGTCGCTTCCCCTGCCCTCTGCCGCCCTCCCCCCCCATGAGTCGTTTCTTGACGGCCCCGAAGCCCGGCAAGGGCCTCCAGAGGCCGAAGACGGCGAACAGCCTCCCGCCGTGCTCTCTTCATGCCGGCGTTGGACAAACCTCCCTTTCATAAACCTCCCCTTCGTGAAAACGGCCTGGGACCGAAACCCACGGGCCTGCACCCGCAAGCAGGGCGGCCGCGACGCCCCCCCGCGAACCGAAAACGGCCGATTCCTGACTCGACGCGCCAGGGTAATTCGGAGGTCTGTCCACCCCCGATCCCGAGCTCCCTGTCCCCGGGAGGGGGAGGAGGAGGAGGAGGAGGAGGAGGAGGAGGAGGAGGAGGAGGAGGAGGAGGAGGAGGAGGAGGAGGAGGAGGAGGAGGAGGAGGAGAGGAGGAGGAGGAGGAGGAGGAGCAGCCGCCCGCCGTGCTCTCTCCCCGGCCCGAACGGGGCCTGGGCCCGCCGCCCTCCCGGCCCCCCCCCCTTGGGTGCAGTCGCCGCCGCTCCTCGGCCTCCGCGGTGGCGCGCTCGCGGTCCTTCTGCTGCGCCTGCGCGCGGGCGGTGCGCGCGCGCAGCGCGCGGCGAGGCGCGCGCGGCGGCGAGGCGCGCGCGCGGCGAGGTGCGCGCCAGCGGGCGGGGGGCGCGCGCTCTCCGCGAGCGCCCGGCATAGCTGCCCCGGGACCGCCCCGAGACAGGACTGCCCAGGAGCTGGGCGTGGACCCGTGCATTGGGGCGCCGATGCACTGGGGGGGGAGGGGGGAGAAACGTGCACCCGCTGTGCCCCTTTTCCACCCCAGGCGGCGTTTGCAGGGCTCCTTTCGGGCACGAAAGGTGCACTTTTCTCTCCCCCCCCCCACCCCCCCATTCTCGTCGCCCCACCACGACGTATCGCCCGAAAGAGGCTCCAAGATCGGCCCTGGACGGCCCCAAGAATGGCCCCGCGAGGTGTCCCAGGTGGCCCCAGGACCCAGGACTGCGGGCCCGAGGACGGCCTCGGAGGGCTCGAGCAAGGGGCGCGCACAGCTTGACGTGTTTTCAACCCTCAAGGCGTCGCGTAACGCAGCCGTGCTCCTCGATGCGAAGACAACCAAGCTTTGCGTGAATTCGCGCCAGCACTGCACGTGCGGGGTCTCTCTGATTCGCCCTCGGTCGCCGTCGAAATACTGTCTGGATCCTCAAACACTCCCGCATACCCCCGCCTCAGAATGCACGTTGACTGGGCTCGTCGGCCTGGAAAGCTCGGTGTGAGGTCGGCATGCAGTATGCTCACAGATACACAAATTAAGACGCGACGAGTACCCATACACTGAATCACGTCTAACATCTGTCACAACTGTGGATACAGCAAGGCCAGCAATCGTGGCAATAGCAATGAAGGCGCAACGAAGATGTTGTTTTGCGACACCGTGTAACAGGGCATCCCAATTCGCGCACATTATGTGTCATCTTAGTTGGCCTCATCCCAATGCATGATTCGACAGACAAGGCAACTGACCAAATGTCCGAATTCATAGCTCCGTGTCTTTCCCACAGGCACGATGCTGTCAGAGAGCAACTAGGAACTAGGGTGCGATCGCCATGCCAACATGCGCGCACACCACACCCATTCTGACTACGCACACAGATCCACAAACACGTCACTGTCGCTGCGGCTTGGCTTGCAGATCTGTACCATTAGGCTGTCGCGAACGCTCGTAAGGGCAGCGCCAGCTGGATCGCAACCAAAGCCAGGGCCCGTCGGCTTCAGAAGCGCCAGTTCCTTGACAAGGGGAACGTAACTACCAAAACGCAATCACGATCCCGGAGGGCAGCAATTTGGACATGCACGGAGTGGCCAAGATCACCTGCCTGAGCTTCGAGGACAGAGAGGATGGACCCAACGACTCTGGCCTCAGGTAAGATTAACCTCCTGGTACTCTAGCTGTCAGAGGCAACTACGACTGACTCTCTAACCTCATCGCTACAATTAGGGTCAGGGTCTGATGCGAGTTTCCAACCCACCTCCCACCATGAGCTTCCCCTCTTCTCTGATTGATTAACTTGAGCAATTCCACGGCTGCTGGAAAGTAAGATGTAGACAGAACCTCAACATCTAAGTTCCAATCGAGGTTTTAAGCAGTCCAAATAAGTTGATAGTTATTTCCCGCCACTGTGTAGAATGCCAAGTGCTGTCGGGGCTTCTGTAATGTTCCTAGGCCCCCCCCCTCCTCGTGCCCTCCCGCGTGCAACACCCCCTCTTCCCGAGGCTACAACCTCTAGCAACATGCGACAGACTTGACCTCCCGAGGCCGAGATGCCTCCAGGACGACCCGATATCGTTCCAAGACGGGCCACTTTGGCCTCGAGACGGCCCAAGATGGCTTCAAGATGGCCCACGAGGCTTTCGAGGCGGCCCAAGAGAGCCCCAACCGCCTTCCCAAGAGGGCCTCGAGAGGCACAAACCATTCATTGTCTTTAGGTTTCCCAGTGCTTTGTCTTGTTCTCACCGTTTCGAGTTTCCGACGGTCCAGGACGGCCCCCAAAGCCCTCCAAATTACCCCGGGACGGCTCAAGAGGCCCCACAAAAGAGCTCCAGTACGGCCCAAGAGAGCTCCAAGACGGCCCAAAAGGAGCCAAAGACTGCCCAAAAGGGCGCCAAGACGGCCCCCACAAGGGCCCAAGAGGCAGAACACGAACCACGACCAAGACCTCGAGCCTTCTGCCTGCTGCGCTGGCACGGTGGCGGACTTGCTGGAGGCAGCTCGAGCACACTCTGGAAGGTCAGGGCAGGACTGCAGTGGACAGACTCGGAAGACGGAGACAGGACCAGGGCAAAATCGGACCGGGGCAAATCGGGGATCTCTGAGATCCGGCGGTTCTGGAGGCCAGCGCGAGGCCGTGCCAGAGCGCGCCAGAACGCTCCCAGAGCGTCCCGGCAGGCTCTGGAACGAGTCGTCTGCCGGTCCTGGGCCCGCGCGAAAGACTCGACTCCCAACCGAAGGCCGAAGATTGCCAAACGCCGTCCGTCGTGATCTTCCCACGCGACACAGGGACGGCAGGGCCCGGGGGGCGAACGAACACGGCCCTCCAATCCGCGAGACCGGCCGCAAAATACGAACGTTCGCGCAATGCGTACTCTCGAGACCAACGTGGGTTCATGCACGTGTGCGCCCTTCTTTCTCTCCTGACAGAAGACGTCCGTCGTGTGCTTCCCGCGGCACGAGGAAGCCAAGGCCGGGGGGGGGGGGGGGCGAACGTCGAGATCCCCGAGCCTGCTCCTGGGAGCGCGCTCTGGCCGGGATCTCGGGGCGGATCCGGCAGAGCCCCCCGGGAGGCCCCAAGCAGGCGAAACAAGCCTACAGCTGGAATCGCGCTTTTTACCAAGATCGACCTCTGGCACCCCCAAAGACTCTCCAAAAGGCTCACGACGGCCTCCGGGCGCCCCACGAAGGCCCCCAAAACCACAGCAACGGCCCGGGGTAACGGCAGGACGGTCCTGAGAGGGTTCCAAAACGTGTCTAGAGGGGCCTCACAGGCTGTCCGGACAGGCCACGCGGGGGACGAGCGCTGCCGCCCAAAGGGGTCGGCACTGTGGCGTAAACCAATGAATCCACGTCCGGAGGCGACGTGCTGAGCGGCAGCGTTTTCTGCGGAGGCGATAATGCAACGCACCCAATGTATCCAATGATTGCATACTTGCCACATATTGCATTGTGTCACATTATTATGTTTCCCCCCCTAACCCCCCCTGGGAGCGGCGCCACAGGAGCGGACCAAAGTGGCCCCCCCTCCCGGGGCTCAAAATCCTACCAAAACCTATAGAACATCGATGATCTCGACTTCTTGGGCCTCTTGGGGGGCCAAGAGGGCGCCAAGACGGCTCAAGATGGGCTGTGTGCGGGCCAAGACGGCCCTGAGGCGGTCCAAGACGGCCCCAAGAGGGCCCAGAAAGCCCCAATGACTGCCCAAGAGGGCCCCAAAAGCGCCCAGAAGTGCGCCTCCAGAAGCCAAAATCATTGATGTCCCTTGGGTTTGGTAATATGTTAGCGTTCTCGCCTTTGCGGCCCAAGCAGCCTCCCAAATCGCTCCAAAACAACCCACAAGAAGCCTCCATAAGGGCCCCAATACGGCCCAACAGAACCCCAAGACGGCCCAAAAAGGCCCCCAAGACGGTCCAAGAGGCCCCTATGACGGCCCAAGAGGACCCCAAGACGGCCCCAAGGCGGCCGCGAGAGGCCCCCAAGACGGCCTCCGAAGGGGCGAAACGGCGCAAAAGCGCCCCAATACATCCAAAGACGCCCCCAAGAGGCCCCCAAGAGGCCCCCAAGAGGCCCCCAAGGGGGCCCCAAAAGCCCCCAAGAGGCCCCCAAGATGTCCTCAAGAAACCTCCCAAAGGCTCCAAAGAAACCCCCCAAAGGCCACACAACGAGTGGAGTGCAATGTCATTTTTCCAACCTGGGCGAACTGCGGCGCAGCGCCAGCCAGGTGGAAGTTGGTCACAGCGGCGCCCATGATTAGAGCCGGCGCTGGAAGGAAATATGGGGAGGGAGTATGAAAAGGAGGGAGGGGGGAGAGGCCCCAAAGAAGTCCCCAAGAGGCCCAAGGAAGCTCCCAGGAGGCCTCCAGGAGGCCCCCAAGAGGCTCCCAAGAGGCTCCGCGACGACGTGACTGCACGTAATCCGGACGTGCACCCCGCGAAGCGAAAGGAATCTACAGCTGGAATCTCGTTTTTTGAAGAAAAAAATGGGGGCGGCTCAGGGAGAGAAGAATCGACCTGGAATCGGCGATGCATCGCCGATGGATCGGCGATGGCGGGCTGGGCTATCGGGCCCCTATTGGCGATGCATGGGCGATTGGGAGTGGATGCTTGTTGCATCACCCTCCCACAGACGTTGCCCCTGAAAGGACACCCTCCCACAGACGTTGCCCCTGAAAGGAACAACTTTCTTGTCATAACTCGGGTCTCCGGTGGCCGTTCGGGACAATCTGGGCATCCCTGGAACGCCCTCGGCGAGGCGCAGCTGCTGGAAGGCACCCCGAGGCTGGAAGACCGCCGATAGCCAACGAAGAAGCCCGAAAACCTATGATCTCGAACGCCCCCTGAGAAGCATCGGCCCCGAAGATGTTCGGGGCTCCAAGACCTAGCCCTGGACCTCTCCCCGGGTGCATTCTGGCCAGGAATTCGAAGCGGATCTGGCCGTGGCCACGAGGGCACTCCAGGATGAGCAGAAACGTCCAGGAGGCCTACGATTGGCGTTGCAAAAAATGGTAGCGTGCAACACCAGTCTTCGAAAGGCACGCGATCCCTGAGAGGCGGTCCCGCCGCTGGGGTCCCTTCTGTGCGAGCTATCCACCTGCCGGGGCTTCTTCCGTGCACGCTCTCCAGGATGGAGGATAGCGTGCAGTGAGCGGGCTGGCGGCGCCACATGGCACGCTACACTTCCACCCCAGACCGTAAGCTCAAAACTTGAAACTCGATCCTCCAACCTGGAACCGCGCGCCCAGAAGACGTCCTTTTGGACGCCCGAAATGGGTACGGAAAAAAAAGGATGCTCAACAGCAGATGTTG